GGTTATTATGTACCAAAGTATGACTTTATTAATACTGGTTATATCATACTTTGAATGAAGGGGGTCCAGGGGGCAAAGCCCCCTGAAGCTCCTGGGTTTTTGTGTATTTTAAGAGGAAAACTAGGCACAAGAATATTAATATTGTACCAAAGTATGGCATTTTTAATATTATTTACATCATACTTTAAAATTTTAGGGGAGGGGTCATACACATGTAACTGTACACATCCCTTAATCCGTCAGTGTATACTTTGTATTAATTTACCGTGGAAGTATAATTCTTTGACAGGAAAATTATCATTTTCGGTATATAAGAATTGGCTTGTATTGAAAGTGATTCATCACACCTACTGAGTGCACATGATTGTCATCTTGATAAACTGACTACAAGTATCCAGTCTGGGAATCTGATTTTAAATACTATTTGGTTCTAAAATGGTGAGCCAAAAAAAATTCTGAATTGAAGATTCTGAGGTTAAATTACACGGAAATAAAAAGGGTATTTCACTATATTTAAATATCATAAGTCAAGGTTAGATTATTTAATTTCTTGGCAGTGGAGGACTGATTATTTATTTTCATTTTCTGACAGGGACAGATTATTTATTTCCAAAATCTGCCAGCCCCCCTCCCCCCGCAGAATTGAATGGAAAAATTGATCAAGTTGTTTTGAACCATGATGTCAATTTTCTATTTTAATCAGACAGGAATGAATAGTAAATCAAAGTGGCTTTGAGATAATTTTTTTAATACATCATTTTTAGCTCTACTGGTCAGAGACCAGAAGAGCTTATGCGATAGTAATGCGTCCGTCGTCCGTCTGTCTGTCTGTCCGTCTGTCTGTCTGTCCGTCTGTCTGTCTGTCTGTAAACAATTTTTCAAAATGCTACTCCTCCTACAGTTTTGGTCTGATTTCAATATAACTTGGCACACAAGTAGACTACACTAAGATACATAATTCTGTATATCGGTTTTTGATTTCGATGAACGGTGTTGCCGTGGTTACTAAAAATAGAAATTTCTGTGAAATTCTTTCAAAATGCTACTCCTCCTACAGTTTTAGTCTGATTTCAATATAACTTGGCACACAAGTAGACTACACTAAGATACATAATTCTGTATATTGGTTTTTGATTTCGATGAACGATGTTGCCGTGGTTACTATAAATAGAAATTTCTGTGAAATTCTTTCAAAATGCTACTCCTTCTACAGTTTTAGTCTGATTTCAATATAACTTGGCACACAAGTAGACTACACTAAGATACACAATTCTGTGTATCAGTTTTTGATTTCGATGAACGGTGTTGCCGTGGTTACTAAAAATAGAAATTTCTGTGAAATTCTTTCAAAATGCTACTCCTTCTACAGTTTTAGTCTGATTTCAATATAACTTGGCACACAAGTAGACTACAATAAGATACATAATTCTGTGTATCAATTTTTGATTTCGATGAACGGTGTTCCGTGGTTACTAAAAATAGAAATTTCTATGAAATTCTTTCAAAATGCTACTTCTTCTACAGTTTTAGTCTGATTTCAATATAACTTGGCACACAAGTAGACTACACTAAGATACATAATTCTGTATAGCGGTTTTTGATTTCGATGAACGGTGTTGCCGTGGTTACTATAAATAGAAATTTCTGTGAAATTCTTTCAAAATGCTACTCCTCCTACAGTTTTAGTGTGATTTCAATATAACTTGGCACGCAAGTAGACTACACTAAGATACACAATTCTGTGTATCAGTTTTTGATTTCGATGAACGGTGTTGCCGTGGTTACTAAAAATAGAAATTTCTGTGAAATTCTTTCAAAATGCTACTCCTTCTACAGTTTTAGTCTGATTTCAATATAACTTGGCACACAAGTAGACTACAATAAGATACATAATTCTGTTTATTGGTTTTTGATTTCGATGAACGATGTTGCAGTGGTTACTAAAAATAGAAATTTCTGTGAAATTCTTTCAAAATGCTACTCCAAATACAATTTTAGTCTGATTATAATATAAATGTGGCATGCAAGTAGACTGCACTCAGAACATAAAGAGACTTAATCAAGGATCATTATTCTATTTATTGCTGTTGAAAAGTTTCAATTTCCAACTGCTTAAGTACTTTTCTCTTCCTTTGCTATAAGTACAAACCAGTAGAGCTTCAGTCTCGACAGAGACTTCTGGTTCATTAATGATTTCATTTCAGACTAATGTTGACCTGATTCCAGATGGTGAAGAACTTAAAAGACAGCATTGATGGCAGGAGGTGAGCTTTTGTGTGGAATTTAATTTAAAAAAACCACACAGTACTGAATTTTCAGTCATGCACAGGAAAAGAAAGAAATCTTTGCATTTGACTTTAAAATAGTCAAGAAATAATTCACTTTTACATGATTATCATGATCATAGAATACTTGTATTAAGAAAAGTTCATAAAACTGTATTTTCAAGTATATCTTTTTGTTAGTATAACAGGCAAATTCAAAGAATTGTGATTCCCTACTTTTGGTGTCTTAGTGGTAATGCACATGTGAAATGTGAAAGCTCTCTCCCTTCTCATTCATAAGTAATGGCCAAGGGTCAATTTTTGATAACAAACGGACAGCAAGACTGACAAATGAGATTTTTTTTTGCTAAAGCAGGGGACAATTAAATAGAACATTGACTAGCATAAAACAATGATGAAATCTAGTTAAAAAAAATTTTGAGAAAGAAATGCATTGACATGTTAATATTGAGAAAATACATTATAGGTCCAATCTAAGAAGAAGGTATGGTTTTAGCTTTATTGCGCCCTAAAAATGTAATGACGTCAAAAAGTTTTGAAACTGGCTTAAATATTAGTTTAATAAATGACTTTGATAAATCAGGAAAGAATATGGCATGAAGGTTTATTATTCTGCAAATATGACGTCATTAATGTGAAGCATTTCTCTATTTTCAACAGAAAGAGCCTCAAAATGGCACATTTCAAGGGTGATTTTCCTTTAGAAAACAGTGTCCACAGCCGTCGCCCACGTTAATTAATTTTTTGATATTTTGTGCAAAATTCAATAACAAATCACATATCTCAAGATCTTAGTGGGCGATGCCTGTGGACAATGTTATCTGAAAGAAAATTCCATTGGAAATTGGTGTCTTCTGCTACTTTTTAAGAAAATACGGGAAAATGCACATGTCTATGACGTCATAATTAGCATTTAAAAACACATGTGAGAAAAATGACTTGTATGATTTTTCTGCATTGAATTTCAATTATTTAAAAAGCTTGAGTTTTCAACTATTACACCAGTTTTATTTTTTTGAAAATCACAGGGCAAAATTTGTATGGAAACCATACCTTCTTCTTAGAATAAGATCTTTGATCCGCTCCAGTTTGATCGCTACACAAAGCGGATCAAAGATCTAATTTTAATTAGATTGTTATAGGTCCAGTCTTGAACTAGATCCTTCTTTTATAAATTGATTTCTAATGTTACAGCTAGCATTCAAGACAGGCCTCCCACAGAGAAAGAACTGGTGGAAGTCAGCAAACATATCGGGGCCGGTTTCGAGCTTTTGGGAGCGTACCTAGGCATCAACAGCATAAAGATCCAACAAATTGTGATGAACAATAGCTTCAGTGTAGAGACACAGATTTTTAAAATACTTGTCGCCTGGAAACAGAAGGAGGGACGTCAAGCCACAGTGAGAAAACTCCTGGAGGCCGTAAAAAACAGCCCGGGGAACATTAATGTAGGGGAGATAGAGAGGATTTTTGACACGTGATGTTTGACATGTGATATTTGACTCGTGATATTTGACACATGATATTTGACATGTGATATGTGACTGTGTGATTTAGTAAATCAGAATCACATCTCCCTCCCAAGCCCTTACTAACTACAGACAGGACCTGGAGGGTTAGAATCACATCAGAATCAATCTGATTATTATCCAGTTTATTTGGTAAGGCTTATATTAAAAGATAATAGTACTGAGATGACAGAAACAGACTAAACAAATTTTAATTTAAGGTCAAAATTTAAGTGAACAGTGTTTCTGTAATATTTATACTTTTTATAACTTCTCAGTTTGATTATATTGAATTCTGAAGCTACCATACTCAATGGGTGCAGAAAATAATGATAATAGTTTGTTTCATATTTGAATGTGTTTATAAACCCAAGACTTATTTCTCCTCTAAACCATTATTTCTCTATTAAACACTTTGATCTCTGATATATGCATAAGTCACTGAAGTGTAGAATTTTTCAGTAGTTACTATGCTGTATGAATGTAATCCAGTGTTTTTTCATGACTGAAAGTCTTGGTACTCTGTTTTGTTGTTCTTTATAATATCTATGTAAAGTGTGTTCAACATGAAGTACTCCATGTTCATCAAGCGCTTCCTTTGTCATTTTTAATATATTTTTTCAATTAAATAATGACTCAAATATTTGTTTTGTTTAATAGTATATTTAATATTTAAACAAATGTAAGCTGAGTAACAAACATTCCTAAAGCAATTTCATTTAGAGATTGAATTTTAAAAGTAAAAAGATCTGGTTTGCATTCCTTCAATATTTTTGTCTAATGAAAATGCAAAATAAAATGTGTATTGAAATAACTGACAAGTAACAACTTAAAGGGATTTTGAAATTGGTCAGATGATCAAATCCTATAATGGCATTATATGCCTGAAGCTTACAAATGTACATGTAAGTATAAATCATATGATACATGTACTTATTACGGTATGTACAATGAATGCAATACAACAGTACTGATTAAATTAAAGTACATTATATTGAACTGCTTACCGGTACATATTCAATAATTACTAAAAAATAATTGTATGATTCTTACATAAAACTGTAGTTACTTTTAGTATAAAACAAATCAATTGTAATAATAGAATGACTAAATGTGAAAAGATACCATACATAAAAATCATTCCAAACTTTAACATACTGTTTAATACATGTACAGCACATAGGCCTTGAACTAAAAAACAGCAAAATCATGGCATATCATTCTATGAACCTCACAATATCAAACCGCCTGTTCTAATCTCTCTGCTATGAACCCCATTTGACACTCTTTAAGTCCGTCGACGAACGTCTGGAACGCCTGTGGCCCCCTCTTCTGTACTATAAATAGCAGCTGGGTGGCCTTCTCTCTCCTGGTTCTCTGGATCTCCACCTCCTCCTTCATATTCTCTGTCAGAATGGAGTGGGAGATAAGGAAGTCCATCAGTTCGTCCACAATAAGATTCTCCAGGAGGAATGTCCAGTTCTTCCTGATAGCTTCCCTGTGTCTGTGTTCCATTCTGGTCAATGTTTATAAGGGGGGAATAGGCGACCAAACACAACACCATGAACACATGCGTATCCAAGAATCTCTTCAGCTAGGCTACATTAAATTCACTGTCAACTTGTTGTATTCTTCATGCAGGCATTCTTTGTTTTATTCAAAGTTTTCTTAAAGATGTTTCACAGTCTAAAATTATAAAAATAGTAATGTTTTAATAACCAGAATAAAATGCTTTTCTCAGCAAGGCAGGCTTGTTCACAAGTTGTTGATTTGAAAAGATAAAATAAATCTAAAAGGATCTTGTAGTAGTGCATGTCTATAGTGATCTATATGTACAGGTATGTATGGCAGGTTAGATCGGCAGGTACCTGGATGGTATAACCCAACCCCTTTTTCACATGTTCTTCTAAATTTTCTTTAGTCACTAGGGCTACCAAAGAACTATAAATAAGTGATACAGTTACATGGGGCCATGGTTACACCATCTACATGATCTAGGCTATTTAATTTTTAGCTGAAATGTCTTCCGAGTCATTCCTCTTTGCAAAAGACGCAAAGAATTTGAAAGAAATGTGCCATAGATCTATCAAATGATGTTAGGCCGTATAATGCTGCTGAGAATACCTAGGGTATTTACTTAAAATGCACCAGCTGTATAATGTAAGGAGGGGGGCATTTAATTTTAGGCCTAGTACTAAAAATCAAGGTACGTCAGTGTGACCCATAGGGTTTTTAAACCAGAGACATGTTATTATGGGTAACACCAGCTAGACTTGTAGACTTATGCAACTCATTTCTTAATCCCAGTGTTATTACCTGCAGCATTAGATGTTCAAAATGAAATCCATCCCAATCTTATCGTTCAACAGGAAGTAAACAAACCATAACAGCCGAGCGGCATCGAAGCGATTAACTTAAAATCTTCTTTTATGCAAACATATTCATAGCGGCTCGTTGGTCTAGGGGTATGATTCTCGCTTTGGGTGCGAGAGGTCCCGGGTTCAAATCCCGGACGAGCCCTACTTCTTTTTTTTTGTTTTTAAATCTATTTACAATTTTTTTACTTTATTCTGTTTTTTTTACATCGATTGTCAAAATACTTGTTTTATTTTTTTCATTTACACATAGATGGTGTTATTGGCTGTGCAAAAATATCGAAACGGGAGCGAGGGGGGGGGGGGGAGGGTTTACATCGCCATAATTTCCCCCTAATGGATGGGCTTGTAGCTATCTGTTATATCTGTCCTATTTTTTTATTTCAAAGAGCTATATCTGCTTTTTCCTTGGATTATGGACATATAAAAATTTACAAACAAAAATTCAAACCGTGGGAGGGCGGGGGGCACCTGGTGCGTCGGCCCTGGGTCCGCCTTTGAGTGGACTAAATCATGGGCACTTGTCTCTGTAATATTTTTTTTTTTACCGATATGCATACTATGATATTATGCATATATATGGGTTGAAAATTTATTACTGAAACAAGTGCCAGACAGTGGAATATATACTTGCAAGAGACTTGACTGAATATAAATTCTATAACAGAGATTATCTAACAGAAACGGGTGTTTTCTGCGTCTCATATCGATTTATTTTCTTTCATAGATTTTAAACAAGTCGTGTACTAAGGGAGCACAATTAGTGCTCTGTTAAATTCAGACAGTTTGTTGGAAGACCTGGTCTCTGAGGATTACATAAAATGTTGTCATCGAGAAATTCCAGCATCCTTTTAATATATAATATAAAACAATAGGCCATGGACCACATCGCTCAACTGAGTAAGTTTGTCTATGCTATAATTTTTTTTTACAAGATTTCTCTTTGTAATACTAGTACCTATTGTGACACTGCCTTCCACAGGGGCCATAGATTTGAGAATGTAGAATCTACACTACTCCAGCATCCTTTTAATATAAAATAAGCATTTCTGGCCCAGTGATTCTTAAGAATATTTTAATTTTAAGATTTTTCCTATGTATTTCAATGCCTAATCGGATTCCCTATTGTGGCCTCGCCCTACCCCCTGGGGATCATGATTTTAACAATTTAGAATCATCACTTTACCCCCAGAATGCTTCCACATTCAAAATTGCGTGACCAAAAGGAAAAAACAACAACAACAAAACAGTATTAAGCTTTCTGGTTACTTTAATCCTATATATAATTTATTCTTATTCAAGCCACACAATAAACATATACCGAGATGGAAAAAAAAATCAAACATGCAGCTTAGTATCATTGAATGATAAGTAAGCTAAAATTTCCGTCATTCTTGTAAAGATTTGATCGTATTTAAACACAAAACATGGCGCAAATGTAAACGGTACAACGAGAATACATCACATATTCCTTCTTTTAACCAGTCTGTCACGTGACCAAGTTCATCACGTGGTTTGTATGAGTCTTTAATAAAGTTTACAGTCTGCAACTTCCAAATAATATTTTTTTTCATTTAATTGTTTTTTCTTAAAAAAAAAATGAATAAACTTCTGTCCTCTTGAAAAAAAAAATCATATCAGTATACAAGAGTTCAGTCAAGTTATTGAAACAATTGATAAGACACCTAAATGAATTCGTCACATGAGAAACATTAATCGTCACATAGAGAAACATTCCAAAAATTCTATCAGTTGAAAGCAGTAACAAAAATCACAATACACATGCAGAATTTTAGTCTTGTGCAGTAACGCTGACCATCGAAAGTTCCGACGAAACAATCTTTCTGGAGTCTTTTGTCTTCCTCTTAAAGGATGGTACAGCACAGGCAGGTGCCCTCCTCCTCCTTAGTGATCAGGGGAGACGACTCCTTAGAGACCTGCTTTCCGTTCGGCTGTTCTGTTACAGCAGCAACGGTTTTCTATAACAGACAAAAACTAGTG